TTAAATTCATGATAGCACACCATTTGTCTCATGGTGGAAGAAATACTTACCAGTTACCATTGGTAAATAAAGCGTATATATGGTAACTACATTAAATTTATAGTAAGAGGTGTATGGCATATAATGATCCTAAAATAGCATGCTAGAATAAATATGTACAAATTAATCGAAAAATAACATGACCTCTTTTGTAGATAAAACAAGTGGAACATATCATCATTCACTTATTTATAACATGAGTGATTTCCTCATTATCGCAAGATCTAGAATTCTAGGTTTTTGGTGTCTTTGGCAAAAAAACTAATAGCGAAACGCATCTTACAAAGCAACGTTGGTGGAGCCACTGTGTATTCACAATATAGATCACAAAAAACGAAATAACTTATAGTAAAGTATGAAGGTTGTTCAAAACGTAAGAGAGAGAGAACAATGATGTACTTGTATTTGCCAAATGTGACTATATATAGAGGAATGGACTGTGTGACCTTATAAGAATGCCTTCCTCCTCTTACAGCTATCCTCCTGAATAACAAAAAAAAAAGAAGCTTTCTCCTCCTGTGTTCAAAGCTCCCAAACCAACATAAGAAACAAGACTAAAAGTTGAAAGCGTAGGGAACACTTTAATATTTCTAAAACTACACATGATAATAACAAGAAATAAACTTTTAAATGAAGCTGGTAAAATGTAAAAGTACCCAGTACGAAAGATGTCCGTAAAGTCTTTTGAGACTTCTCAAAAGTATTACGTAGACCATTGTTAAAAGCTATAAAGAAAATGGTCATAAAAATCCAAACGAAAATCACAAGTAAGCATAACATTTATATAAATAAAGATAACATTTATATAAATAAAGGCAAATTTGTAAGATAGATGAGAGTGGGAATGGCTATAATATAATCAAAGCGAGAAGAGATTTGTTGAGTTAAAGACAACATCTTTGAGCTGCCTTGATTCTTCGTTTAGATCTCTGATAAAAAATCCTACACATAAAATACTTGAATAGATTCAGATCAGATGGAACATTATGAATAAATATCATGGAACATCGATTTTGGTTATTATTTAACATAACGCATTCGAGAAAATAGGATTTGATGATCGTATTGGAAGGATGATAAGTATCTGAAAAACGTTCTTTCATTAGAAATTATTAGCCACTGAATAAATTGTCCGGAGCACCGGGTGGATGATCTCATCTGCTTTGAGGAGCTATGTGGTTGCGAAACAGATGATAACTAGAACGCCAATTTAGAAGATGAACTGATTGGGAGACGTAGAGTTATCGTATCAAAATGCTTTACTTTTCAGACAATATATATCGTATCAAACGAGCATACACAATGGGAAAAGGGAAATACCTCGATGGAACACGGATTCGCCGTTTTAGGCCACGGTTATGACAAATCTCCCTCGTCGCATTTTTTCGCTGCTGGTTACTTTCATGCATTTTTCAAATAGATGGGGTATGAAAAGTATTGTTCACACAAAGAAAGTTTTTTTGTCTATTTTATTTTTGAAAATTGAATTTAGATTGTTTTTTTTTTGTGTGTGTGGTAAATCTGAGGAAATCAACTCAAGAAGAGGAAGTCTCATGGCTTGAGCACTCTTTCACTGCTGGTTTCGCTAGAGAGTCTTCTCATATGCACCATTCCATACTCGACTTTTAGATGCAAAAATCAGCGTGCTGTTTTCTTTTTTTTTTACACTTTTAGATTACATCAATGAATAAGTTCAACACATACGATACAAAGAGAAAATAATGATCTTTTCTGCACCAAAAATTAAGTCAATAATCGTTAACGAGATATTAGCGATACTAATATGATTTTGTTTCGAATCGAAGTTAGACGATTAGGTGTTTCCGAATCCACAATAGCAGCCAGATTTCCAATATCTATTACGATAACATGATAACAATTTTCTTAATTCAGATAAATCTCCTTTCTTGATTGCCTTTGTCAATGTTGGTCTGAATTAGTTTCAATGAAGCCGCCGTTGAACAATTTTGAACTGCAAGACTTAAATCAAATAGATAGTCAAAATTGGCTAGAAACCAAAGCAAACTATAGATCTTCTACTAGAGAAAAACCTCAACTAAAACTTTCACCCAAAAAAACTAAATCCAATCAAAAAAATCACAAACTAAATTAACCAAATGAAGGGAATCACAATAACTCATAAAAACAAGACCGCGAATAACATCGCCTTGTCTTCAACCCAAAAACTCCTAAACATCTCTTATACTTCATGTCAAGCGTAGAAACTCTCTTAGTCTACAACCCTCTCCCTCTCACGATACCGTCAAAACACCGGATATCGGAGAGGGAGAAAACTCAAATCACCATTTTCTCTCATTTTCTGTGATGGCTAGGGGTTTTTTTTTGTAACAATCATAAAGCAATCAAAATCTCACAACTAGTCTCATCCTTAGATTCTATACTTGAATCAAACAAAAAGAAGAAAAATAAAAAGGCTCAAAATAAACGAAACACCATATTACACGGATGATGGTGAGAAAGGGATCCGATGCAGCCAACGCGGAAGAACAAATATCAGAGTGAATAGTAAAGACAAGTTGTCATCCTCCTTCTTCGGGTCCCATTCTCTGGAAAAACTCAGAGTGCCACCGTTGCTGCTACGTTCCAAGTTGTTGTGAAATCTAAACTGTCGTTTGTACAAGTTAGTAGATGCAAACATCTTGTTCCACATGTAGATTGTATTAGCATCAAAAGGGTTTATTCCCGAGGGAAAAATAATCTATATTGATAACGGGGGAGATTTCTGAAACTAATTGCCATCCCCATCTTTAGCCTCCAAGCACGTAACTTATACTCCTTGTTTACATAGACGGTGTTGGCATACATGAGAAATCCTTGAGAAATTGTGCAACTTCTTATGAAAATCTGGTGTTGCCTTATATAAGGTAATATATAACTCGGCATCGATCAGATTCCGCGTATAAATCATGAGATACAAGAATCTCATCACGGTGCTCATAACCGAACCAGTAAATGTTTTCATTCAAGGTAATGGGATCGATGTAAGTCATATGGTTCAAAAGGAAAATGAGAATGGAGTGTTGAAACTCCATAAGCCTGTCTAAGACGAATATACGAGTAAACTTAATATACCTATTTCAATGTTACTTGAATCCCTCAAAACAACTTTGTAACCTAAAAGGACGTTCCTCTTTTCATCAATATGTGTGTCTAGTACAGGTCTGGCAAACTCCCCGGCTAAACCTAGAGGAAGAAGAGGCCGAGGAGGGATTTCCACAAATTATCGTGAAATTAGATTAGCGACATAGTAGGTTGGACTAAATCTAAACCCGACCAAAATCAATCCAACATCGGTGTAAGCCAGGACTCCTTCTTGAGTACTGAATTTTTTTGTCAGGAGAGAGGAGTCATATGTGGGGTTAGAATCTCACAATTAGAATCTATGTGATTCTTTAGGGTTTGTAAAGTTCTGCGGAAAGTCCACAGATCTCAAAAGAGGTTTTATTAGCTCTGAAGAAAGCTGTTACAAGAGTTTTTGCTATTGATTTTTCGATCCCCTTTTGGTGAGTACAATGAGCTATATATAGGATTTCTATGTAAAATGGGCCAGCTAATAAAATAGGCTTGGCCTATTAAACAATATATCTAATTTAGGCCCATTATTTCATTAAGTCCATTTTGCTTATGAGTGTAATGTCATTTTGGGCCTAGATCCAAACTGGACCTTTGTAAACTTGCTTTGATTTTGCCAAGACATTGTGGAGTTAATGTCTTCGCCATATCAATCTCATAGGGATGAAATCCGACCCCTACAGTTAGCCCGCCAACTTGGCAGTATCGAGTTATGATGATGCCGAAGTAAAAGTTGCTGAAGTCTGAGATTGATGTGTTGGACTGCGAAGTTGCCAGGCGTGGACGTCTTATCACCGAACTCAGGAAGTTTCCGTTATTCCGCGTTGAGCCGATGTCTACGTGTTTTCCTAGGCTTGTTTTCTTTTTCTTTGTCTTAGAAGACTGAGGAGGTTTATGATCTTTTGTGTTAGTGGGACTTTGAGGCCTGCTGGAAAGTGATTTTAGGAAATTCTCCAAGTATAAATAAATCTGCTTCCTTGGTGTTATTTTCTACCAATTCGCTTTTTCCTAAGCAAAAGGTAGAAAATTCTCTCCCCTTCTACCTCC